TCTACTAAGCAAATTGTTAGAAGCAGGGTCAGAGCAAAAGTATGTCTTCTAGTTTATACTACTTCATTTCTAGAGATCTACTAAGTTGGAAATAAGTTGTTTAAAAAGAAAAGGAGCAGAATGATTTGGCTTGATGTTTCACCAGTCTTTTAGTAAATTTATGGGAAGGCATTTTATAAAGCGACAAATTGTGAGTCTGTCACATGAAAATAAAGCAATGAATTACTACTGTTTGCTGAGTTGGGTCAAACCATTCTTGATGCGATTGTGGTTGCTGTGAATAAGCTGTTTAGATCTAGACTGGGATATCAATTCAGTGCAACAAGTAATACTTCGTCTATAAGGAGAGAACCTCGAATTTGGCAGCTTTTTCTGCACTGTTCCAAAAGATCAGCAAAGCCTATTTCTTGGACAAGGGCAGGAAATAATTGAATGTCCTTCTGTATCTGCCTTTCCTTTTTGAGAACAATGTGATTTTGGCGCAAATTAGCCTCACAGATTCAAAAAAATTCACTTTGCTGCGTATTAGCTTCACTACTTCCAGGCTGTATCTATACTTTTTTTTCTGTAATTCCACACATCTTGGATGTTTTTGCACAACATAAATGGATGAAGAGCAGAAAGGTAACAACTGGCTGTGCAGAACACTGCTACTGAAACAGCAGGTTTCTGGTAGATGATGCTGAGAAATTCAGCATCAGTCATAGATACTTAGATAGCTTTTGCTCAAGAAGATGCTAAGAGTAGTAAACAGCTTTGTCAGTGTGTTGGGTTGGCAGCAGCACACCAACATGTCGTCCTGCTTTGCAAGGTTAGATACATCTGGGAGCCAAATGACATGGGTTCTCTCTTTGTCTACTCGTGTTTTTCAGAGTGTTTTCAGAACATAAGAGATTTGTGCTTCTGTATTTACCTGGTGCAGCCCTGGTCAGAATGGTATTGTATCCTGAAGAGGAGTGCCTAGAGGCAGCAGGATGGAAAAGGCTTCAAAGCCTCATTGGCCACTGCCAGAGCCCTGCAAAGTGGGGCTGACGGTGGTTCTGGAAGGGCCAGCTTATGTTGTGGCTGCTGCTGCGGGAGTGGGGAATTTGATCTTCACCTTCTGCAAATGGGCTGTTTCTGGCTGTTTAGCGTGGGTAAGATCACTATACCTGACTTTACAGGATTTTCCCCCTAGGCCAGTCACAATTCTGTGCTTTTTTATGCCTGCCTTCCCGGCAGGACAAAAAGTGTAGCCTCACACCCATGTGAGAGCAAACCTGAATTTTGCCTATGCTGCCAGAAGCCTTTTAAACTGACTCTGAATAACACTTTTTTCTCCTGTACAGCTCTGAAGCATTGATTGTCCCGTCTGAAAGAGGTGGCAGGTGTCCAGGGTAACGAGATTTAACATCAGGTTGGTCAGGATGAGGAATGTTTTTACTGCTAGGTGTCTTGTTGAGTAGCAACTGGTCTCGTGATCCAGACTAATTGTCAGGAGTACAAGAGGAAGCCAGCTCTGCCTGGCTTTCATTGCATAAAATCATCCCGCTAATCCTAGCTTTCAGTAAGATCTTTTTGTAGCTGAAGTGCTATTGAAACTGAATTCAGACGGGAGTTCACAGAAGCAAACTGTTCCTGTGGCTTCTTTCTGTATGTCCCACAGTAAGACTGTTCACTTTCTACTTCAGTAACGATTGCTTGTGGCAAACATTTTTTCACATCTTCCTTTGTCTAAGAAAATGTTTCATTGTGCATGTGATTACCTGACTTCATTTGTGACTTCTGTTATCCCCACAGAACTGCAAGGATGCCTGGGTTGTTTGGGCATAGAAACAGCAAAGATGAAAGTTGATTCCTATAAAATAATGCAGTATGCCTTTCAAGGAGTAAAATTATTTGTGGAAATAGGAGAACTGCCCTCTTCTGTTCTAAACCCATTTCAGAGTCATGATGTTTATTATTTAAGGGGTTCCCAGACCCAGGTTTTCTTCAGAGCTGACTAATACTTTGATGAAAGCTGTTGTCAAATAACAACAGGCTTTCAGCACAACTTTTCACAGTAATGATAGAACTCACAGTTCAATATACGTTACAACTATAATTTATAGCATTATGCACTAGCAATTGTCAATAATAATTAGAAGAATTAGAAGCATAATGCTAGAACTGCTTCATGCTTTGAATAGTAGTATTTCCAAGTATGTTATCTGCTACTGAATCAAAGAGTAATAAATCGAAGCAAGTTATGATAAGAAATAGAGTTGAGAACGCAATGGAGCAACTTCTGCTCTTCAAAATAACTGCTAAGAGCCCAGTAGATAACCCTGCTCAGCACTGGTAAGCAGTGATTGATGTTAAGGCTGTCACTGTATGGAGGAGCTGGCACCAGAGGTGACTGCAAGTTTGAGTGGCAAGAGCAGTGATTAAACTCAAACAGATCAAACTGAAATACAGATTTCATACATTCCATAGGATGGGTTCCTAATAATCCTTAATAGGTTAATGTTGACATGTTATGATTCTTCCCCTGCGTCAGCATCTCTAATGGCAATGACAGTTGGAGCTGATGGACAAATAAGTCCTAAGTCCGTATACGTGGTACCTGAGCTCTGAGTGAGAAGAGCTGGAGTAAACAAGGATTTTGCATAGCACCTAGAAAAGAAGGAAGCTGATCTAAAAAAAAAAAAAAGTGAGGAAAAAAGAAGGATAATAGATAATAGATAAATCATCTTATGAAATATGAGAAGGATGGTAGTGATGCTGTTGGTGAGCTGTCAGAGTTATGTCAGCAGTTGGTGTTTGACAGAGCTTGTTCAGGACCTGCTATCATAGATTCTCAATATCTAAACCTTACACATAGCTGTTATTTCTGGACTACCCGCTGAATGTTCAAATTGAAAGTCCATAAATGATTATCATAATGCCTACAATAGTCTTGTGCAATAGAAGCAGTAACTTACTACAGATCGTAAGACTGGGTGGGCAAAGATACTGGTGCTGGAGTCACCCAAAGAAAGACAGGCTGAGGTGAGGCTGGTACTTCTCACATATGGAGGAATGTGAAATACCATCGAGATCTTGGAATAAGCTGAAGTCCTTCACTGCTCTAGTGGAGAGAGCCATTTTAGATTCTAATTCAATTGGATGCAACATGCAGCAAAACTTGTGTCTATTGTGGGCTACCGGCACTAGCCTAATTTGGGAACATCCATCCTGTAAAGGACACTTGAATCCAGGATACTGACTTGCACCACTTCCAATGTAAGTTTCTGTTGCGTGTGTAGTCCCAGTTTGAAGGATGAAGCAGTAATTGGCAGCCTGCTACGACATCGGGGCTTCAGCACGCAGGAGGCGGAACGGTGGCATTGAGGCTGCTGGCTGCTTACTTGGTTCTCTCTGGCTCGGGGAAATGTCCTGTCTCTTCTCCTCTCTTCTTGGTCATCTGAGCAGCTTGCAAGTCTTGGAAGGAAGTTTAAAAATAGCAGAATGGGTTAGTGTCAGCTGTCTGGAATACGTGAGCACAGACAGACAGTGCTTCGTTGTACTTCTGGTGAATCCCCTGCATCATTGCAGCTCTAAACAATCCACTGCGCTCTCGCATGACATCTTCTCCTCACTTTTCAAAGTAATTATTATAATCCACTTTAGATGAAGATAATTTCGGAGATGCGTAACAGGCCACTGCGTAGGATCAGTTGTGTTCAGCAGTCAGCAATGGGTTCCTCTCCAGTTTGCCTTTTATAGCCCGGGTGCACAGAGCTGTTCTGTTAGCAGTGGAAGGGGAACTCGAATATTTAGGTTTGGATGGATTTAGACTCTACACTCTTTGAGGAGAGTTGCTGTTTCTCTGTTATTGGGTTATCTCTTTCACTGGGGGTCCGTCAGTTTTCAGCATCGTGCAGATGACAGAAGGCTTGGTGCTGGTTAGAATCGTGCGCTCATCTTGGTGTTCTTAGGCTTTTCCTCTTCAAACGATTAAAAGTTTATCACACTGCAGCAGTAGGGACTGGGTTTTTTTTTATGCCAGATGTCTATCTCTGGATAAAGACTTTGGTTAATTAGAGCCAGGATTTTTTTTTGTCCGTGGAGTTCTCATTTAAATGTAATCATCCCTGAAAATATGGTTTAATTTGTGGGGGAGATCTTTCCTGTTCTTTAGAGAAGTGCTGCACGGTTTAGGCTGTTCTCCCCCAGTGCTGTTCTGCATAGGGAGAGGAGTCTGCTGCCCTTAGCATGGTCAGCCTGGACAGCAGAGGTCTGTGCAGGGCTCCCAGAGTGATTCATTTGAGGCTGAACGGGAACACGTGTTGGAATTTCTGACTGCAGATGGTGGTGTGCTGCTCAGTACAAAAATGAAGTCCAGTGGGCTGTTCACATCTGCAGCCCTGGGTGCAGAAAGCAGGGTATCCCCATTGCACGTGTGCTCTGTTACCTGTACGTGGCCTGTTTTATTTTTTGTTTGGGTGGCTCAGACTGCTTAATTTCAGTGTATGACTTCGCTCACAAATACATCATATCATATTTAAAATGCTTTTACATGAGAATTGAATCTTGCAGGTCATTGGCACAGCATACTTCTTGAGCAATTAAGAATCCAAGTACTTTAATTTGAGTCTGTGTTCTGTGTGATCTGCAGTGAGGTCTGCAAGTTGGCAAAGCTCCACATTCTTGGCAGGGCTGCCCAGAGAGGTTGTGGATGCCCCGTCCCTGGAGGTGTTCTAGGCCAGGCTGGATGGGGCCCAGGGCAGCCCGGTCTGGTATTAACTGTGAAGGTTGCTGACCCTGCCTGTGGCGGGGGGGGGTGGAGATTCATGATACTTGAGGTTCCTTCCAACCACCCAGGCCATTCTGTGATTCTATGTGATTCAGTGAGGAAAACACTCATTGTGCTGTTAGATCTCCCCAGGTCACAGATTTAGGTATTAAGAGAGAGGACAAAGCAGAGATTCTGCGGATATAGATTCTCGTGTGATAAATGTAATTTTTTAATAGTCCCATTTTTTCTCTGTCTTCTGCAGGTCACCATGAAAGCCAAACAAGTGAAGGACTCCGTGACATATACACCAGGTGTGTGCTGCCAGCTCCTCACCAACACTTGTAGGGAGCACCATGTTTAGATAGCTGCATGCACACGGGTGCATTCGGTCACTTTCAGCGTGTGTTCTGCAGAGACTCTTGCAGCCTGCCTTTCTTCAAACAAGGACAAGACCTGACATACTCTGAGGGAATGCTGCCTTTGTAGCTACCTCCTCCCAGCCTTTCTTATTCAGTTTAGTGTGGGCTTTGTTCAGAGGGACCTCAACAGACTTGAAAGGTTGGCCCAGGTGAACCTAATGAGGTTCAACACAGCAAAGTGCAAGGTTTTGCACTTAGGCTGGTGGAATCCCAGGCGTTTGTACAGACTGGAAGGAGCAGTCCTTGAGAGCAGCCCTGCAGAGAAGGACCTGCAGGTCCTGATGGATGAAAAATTTAACATGAGCCAGCAGTGTGCTCTCACAGCTCGAAAAGCAAATGGTATCCTGGGCTCCATCAGAAGAGGGGTGGCCAGCAGGGACAGAGAGGTGATTGTTCCCCTCTACTCTGCTCTTGTGAGGCCCCATCTGGAGTACTGTGTCCAAGTGTGGAGCCCCCAGTACAAAAAAGACAGGGAGCTGTTGGAGAGGGTCCAGAGGAGGGCCACAAAGATGATCAGGGGACTGGAGCACCTCCCCTACAAAGACAGGCTGAGGGAGCTGGGCTTGTTCAGCCTGGAGAAAAGAAGGCTGTGGGGTGACCTCATTGCAGCATTTCAGTACCTAAAGGGAGCCTACAAACAGGAGGGGAATCAACTCTTTGAAAGGGTTGATAACTGCAGGACATGGGGAAATGGTTTTAAGTTGAGGGAGGGGAGATTTAGGTTGGATGTCGGGGGAAATTCTTTATAGAGAAAGTGGTGAGGTGCTGGAACAGGCTGCCCAGAGTTGTGGATGCCCCGTCTCTGGAAGTGTTCAAGGCCAGATTGGATGGGGCCCTGGGCAGCCTGGTCTAGCATTAAATGTGGAGGTTGGTGGCCCTGCATGTGGCAGAGGGGTTGGAGATTCATGATCCTTGAGATCCCTTCCAGCCCTGGCCATTCTGTGATTTGTTCATTTGTTGATGCTGTTCTGTTCTTGTTTGTCAGTGTGGTAATTTACTGGTTACTTCACATGTACTAGATGAGCTCATAACTGACTAAGTTCATTGCTTCATAAAAATGCCTTGATTTCTGGATAAACATGAGGAATTTAGCATGATCTGTAAGGGCTTCACCTGCTCTCCGCACTGTTCCGAGTACCTCCTACTTGCAGTACCTCTTGTTTATGGTTTATTTAGAAGTATAACAGCAGTGCTTTAAACAGGTGTCACCAGGCTCTCCGAGCTTAAGACCTTGGCCCAGAATTCCAAGAATGCCAAAGTCTCCATGAATCTGCCAGACCACATCATCACACAGAGGGAAAGAGAGGAGGAGGAGGAGGAGGAAGGGAACTTCAGTCACAGCCCAGAACAGACAGATGCCCAAACGGATCCCAAGGAGGGCAGTGCTGGTGAGACCAGGCATCGCAGGCGGAAGGTTCCCAAAGCACCCGAAATGGTGCCAGCAGCAACAAAAGAGGGATTGGAGGAGAAGAGCAGAGTGAGACGCCAGAAGGATTTCGATAACACGGAACAGGAGGAAGAAAGTGATGACGAGAGCAGAAAAAGAGAGAAGAGCCGTGCCTTAGAAGAATTGTGGACTCAGAACCAACAGAAGCTTCTGGAAATGGCCTTGCAGCAGTATCCAAAGGGAACGTCGGACCGCTGGGACAAAATAGCAAAATGCGTTCCTGGAAAAAGCAAGGTACAGTTACTGTTGTCAGAATTAGAACGTAAATAAAGAGGAAACGTATGTTCTAGCCATTTATGAATATCTTAAGGACTGAAGGGCCATGCAGCAAAGTGAAGGTGTTACTTCACCTGTAGCCAAAAGTCAAGACGTCAAACCATTACCATCACATTTGCTGATTATTGAAGGTATTTTCCATTAGATCAGTTTGCTTAATATGTTACAGAAATGTTGAAGTAAGTCCTGTTTCATTCAGAACACCTCCCTCTCCTGTGCCTTCCAGATCTTCTGTTGCAGACAAATTACATTTTGAAACAAATTTTGATTCAGAGTTGGTAACCAGTTGTTGGTGACCCCTTTTACTTGCATTTTTACCATACCCTTCTTGTTCCATCTCAACAGCACACTAAGTAATCCAGCTGCAGGTTGTAAATGCTCTCTTTTTGCAAGTGTGCTTTTTAAAATAGGATTGGCTGTGATTGACAGAGTTGTGCTAGGCTCTGTCCGAGCTGTGCTAGCTCCATTTGTTTGCTCTGTCATTGTAGCTACAGAAAATCCTTATTTTACTTGTGCCAAAAACAGTGTGAGGAGGCAGGAAGTGCAGGCAGGGGCTGCAGGCACTTTGTGGCTCTGAAGCTGTGCATCAGTGCAGGATGGCAGCTGGTGCTGGAGATGACTGCAGAAACTCATCTTTAATAGAGTGAAGTGCCTGCAGTGCGGCTCACACCTGAGTAACTGTTCTGGAAGGGCTCATACAACTGTTTAACTGCTGCATTTACAGGCGTTGTATAGAAATAGCAAGCAGGGGTTTCTTGGTGTGGTGTGCTCTTGGAAGAGAGAAATTACCCAGTAAGAAACATCAATCAAAAGTTCATTTTTCTAATCCACTTTTCACAGATGTAGATTATCCTTCTGAAATTCAGTGCAACTTTGGTATTGCTTTAAGTTTTACCTGCATTATAAAAGTGCCACATCCTGGCTTTCTTCTAATTTATCAAATTAATGTTTGTTTTCCTTTTAGGAGGAGTGTATAGCAAGATACAAGTTGCTTGTTGAACTGGTACAAAAGAAAAAAATGGCCAAAAGCTGAGTGCTCTGAGCAGAAGAATTTACATCATCTTTGTCAAACTGGGGTGGTAAAACTCATATGCAGAAAACTGCATTTTTGTACCTCGGTATTTCTATACATCATGTGCCTTAGTAAAGAAAAAGTATCAATAAATCTTTTGTCATCTTGCCAACTCTTTTGTGTGTTGCAGAATGAAGGTGTACTTTTGTGTAGGAGCTGCTTACGAGGAGAGGTGCTGATGTCTTAAAGAGGAGTGGGCCTTCAGGTAACCCACCCCACTGACTGCATTCTGCAACACTGGTTACAGGTGGCTACAGAATATAAGAAATTTAAAGATCCCTCCTAATTCGGTATTTATATCTGCTGTATTCAGTATGGTTTGATTTCACATTTGAGGCAATAAGAATTACCATTCATTATTTGCTATGTTGTATTTCGTAACTTTGAAAAAATTATGCTAACCTTTAAATATGGGGGTGGTGGGTACTTAATGGGCTGTAAAACAGTATTAGCAAATCAGAACACTGATTGATTACAGTATTTTGCAGAAAACATTAAAGATTCTTTAAAGAATTATTTACCACCCCCACTCTGATTTAAGCCAGGGTTCTAAGGAGCCGTTGAGTTTCAACTTAAAATGAAAAATCAGAAGAGCAGATCAGAACTCAGGACTTGGAGCTTGATGGCCAGAAATCCTCACTAACGTCCCACCCTTCGTACTGATACTATTCCTGCTAACACTGCCCATTGTGCTGCTGCTGACAGATGGGCATCTCACCACGTTTGTTCCCATTTCCGTAAAACTGTAAGGGAGAAGCCATGAGGAAAGATGACAGCGTTCTGTATTTGTTTCTTTACCACGTGGAATGTTTTTTGGTAATAGATGGAAATTAGCCTTAGGCTGTAAGGAAAAAGTGGAATGTAACAATAAATAGCAGGAAAGAGAGTATGGACTTGGGAAGAATTTGATGCTTTTATCAGTGGAAATCTTTAAAACCTACATACAAGCTCTATGTGAGACTTGCCTGCGTTACACTGAGTGCCCAACACCTTCAGCTTCTCTGAGCCCTAGAGCTTCTGCGTGGGGAACAACACATCAAGGAAGTGCACACCGCTTATGGGTAAGAAACATTTTGGTTGGTTAGCCCATTCTTACTGGGATTCTTCAAGCAGTGTGCCTGACAAACACTATTTGTATTAGCGCCAGTGTGACAGACACTATTTAGCTGAAGTGCATCCTTAACGGTAAGGCTCTCCTTGTGTCACGCTTATCAGGTTGAATCTTTGACACAATAGAGGCACAGCATTGGTGGCACTGGTCTGAGTGGCAGTGCTGAAACATGGCGTTGGCCATTCCTGGATAGAGGCGATGGATGGCCTGTGGCCATCAGGCCAGGAGCATACCCTGCCCACAGCACAGGCCTATGGAGGTGCAGAAGTGGCAACAAGCTGGTTGGGGAAGGGACGTGCATTGGTCCTGCTGGCAGGAGAACTAACTGCCCCATGATCTGCTCTCGTGTCACTGCATGGACAACGGTTCCTACTGAACTGCTGCCAAAGACTGGCACCTTTGATGTCAGGATCTGCAAAGTCACCAAAACAAGGTTGGTTTTTGACTGCATCTGGCCTTCATGTGAACTTGGCTTTGATGTGGTCTCATTCTATAAAAACAAGCAAATCAGTTTTGTTTAATGTCAGTACTGCCCTTTTCATTACTTTCCTGCTGATTTTCTGTCCCTCAGGAATACAAGCACTGTACAGCACCCACCACTATCTTGGGCTTGTGACACCAGCCTCTGACACATTGAGAAGTTGAGACTGCCCTGAATTTGGCTATCTCATTCCACCTTTGTTGTTTTCATGCTACTCTGCGTCTGACCAGGAAACAGATAGCAGAAATCAGGTAGGCCCTCTTGAAGAATCATAGAACGGTTTGGGTTGGAAGAGACCTCTAAGATCATCCAGTTCCAACTCCCTGCTACAGGCAGGGACACTTTCCTCTTGACCATGTCCATCTAGAAGAACATGCAGGGAAAAGATACTACGCGGCTGATACTTCTCTCCGCCATAAGGATTTTAGATTCAGGTTAGATCCATAAAGCTATGGGTACTTAATGCTCACTTCCACCACTGCAGTAGAAGGGATGCTCAGGATTACCTAGAAGTGCTTGGGAGCATCTTGGGCCGTTCTCCCCTCCCTCAGGCAATAAGAAGTATAACTGTAGGGGCCCAGAGTTTATATGCCACGACTCTCCCTTAGTACTGACTGTTCAACAGAAGCACAAGGGCAGCACCCCTCCAGAGGGGAGCAAATGGTGCCTGGTTCTAGAGCTGAGCACTGGCTTAGTTAGTGGAACTTGTGACAACCACTGTTCCTCAGCCTCTGCCCCAACTGCACAGAACGGTCACAACCAACAGTTTGCAATAAGGGAAGCTTTCCCAGAAGACTCAGTTGCCAAAGAGCCACTGAGCTGGCAAAGGATTAGTGGTGACCCCACTGTAACAAAAACATATTTCATTAATTCTGAGCTAGTTCATCTACCAGCCTTCTTTCAGGACTGCACTTTTCCGCATTTGAAAATAGAAATGTTTGCTCCTCAGAACTTGAGCAGAGAAGGCAGCTTACAAATGGCACAGCCTACAGCAGCAGCTCAGAGCTGCTTGTCCCAAAAGCTGTCCCAGTTTGAGGCCTGCGCTGAGCCACAGGGAACAAACAATTGTAAGGAACTTCAGTGCAGCTCCTGCTGTGTTTACCAACACCTGCATGGACAGCACACAAAATTCCTGGAAAGAAGTGAGCTCATTTTATAGAAAATACACTTCCAGCAATGACCAGAGAGCTCGATCATCTTAGCCCAGGCTCTACAGAGCTCTCAGCATCAGCGTGAGGCATCAGTGCAGCAGCTCACCTCTCACCCCTTGTGCAGTTTCACAGCAGCTGCTCTCTGCAGCATGAAAGAGAAAGGTCTGCCAGCAGCCAAGAGCACAGCACTGCAAGGAGATGTTGTGTCCAGGAAGCGCCGCAGCTCCACCCGTGGCTCCTAAAAGCTGAAACTGAGAAAGTTCTCTGCAGAGTTGCTGGATGGAGTTGTAGCAGCCGGTGCAACTGCAGCCACGGCAGCGGTGTTTTCTGCAAGACTCACATTCACAGAAGCAGCGTGCAACTATAAACATTATTAAAGTTTATTAACAAAAGCTTTGTACATATCTTTTCATACACTTGGAATTTTACATCTAGTCAAAATAACAGCACATTTCCATCTTACCTTTTGTACAAATCGTTACAGAATATTCACCAGTGGGGCGAGAGGGTAAAATAAACCACCGGTTTGACTTTTGTAAAGTATCTACAAAAGTGATCTGTGACATTTTTTAAAAATTCCCCGGAACATATAAAAATAAATTATTTTTACTTCTTCAATTAAATCTACTAATTAGAAATATTACAAATCAAAATATCAATGTTTTCTTATGAATTCTTCACAATACAAAACAGATTCACAAAACTTTATTTACAGAAATGAGGTAAGAACTGTGCAATGTTTAACTAAGAAACATATTGCAGAATTAACATGTTCTTCCAAATAAGTACACAGTGGAGGTCTAAATACAGCTGGGTCTCTTCCCCTAATAATTCCCACCGTAGCACTGATTAGTGGTCATTACCCCAATTTAACACCACGCTGCATAGAGTCACGCCATCACATCAGCCACCATTGAACACGAGCCCATCCGTTTCAACCACTGAAAATTTTAGTGGGAAACCCTCACTCGCTTTTTGGTAGTTTATTAGTGAAAAGCGACCCAGGTAACAATCTGCCTGAGCTATCTACAGTGGTATAAACACTTGGAGTAAAGGCAGAACGACAAGGCTGCTGGTGCAACTCTTCCTGCTGCTCACAAGGACACGGCTAGTGCATCATCAGCTGTTGGCAGCCATTCCAACGAAGCGGAGGTAGCAACAGGCACTTGGTTTAGGCCAAACACTACACCTAATTCTTCCAGTGTGGCCTTCTCATCTGGTAAGAAAACTTTGTTGCTGGAACCAAACCAGTTCCTTTAAAAACCTCGGCACTCTAAAACCTACACCAAAATTAATTAACTTTGGATTCCATACTGTAATTCTTACTCAGGAAAAGCTCCCACTATATAGCAACAGGAATTTAAAGGAATAAAAGTTCAGAATAGATTCCCTTGTGAGTCAGATTTCCGAATGCGTGTGTGGGTAAAAGGAAACAATAAACAGCAAGTCCAGACTGCCACTGCCAGCTTAGTCTGAAGGATAGATTGCAACTGCAGCAGGGATCAGACACTATGTTTGGGCTTCTGTTGAGCTTTTTAATTAACAAAACAAAGAAACCCTCCTGCTCCAAAATCAAGGTAACGCGTGCCTGCAGACAGTTCTCTAGCCTCTAGGTTTTAACATTAGTACTGATAAGTCATGTGTATGTTTTTCTGTGGTTTAACTTGTACTCACTACCATTTTTGTTCTGACAAAGTAACTGTGGTTTGCAGAGTTTTATCTACTTCACAGTCAAACATTAAAAATTATATCCATTTTAGTGCAACAAGAAAGCAAATCAAAGCCTACCAAAAATATCCTTATGAAAATTATTAACCTTTTGCTGTGCAGTAAGAGTTCCTTGTTGCATTTCTTCATATCTGCAGAAAGGAAAACTGCAGTTTGCAGGCAGATGAAGTGCTATCACAGCAGGACGTGCAGTTCTCAAGTATCACTCAAATGTCAACTCTTCTCTGATGCAACTGGTCCAGTTTTATCATTGAGCCTCTGTGTAAGAGAAAATACTTCTAAAAATCAGATTATAAAATACAGAGCTAAGTAAAACCAAACTCAAATAAAGTGGAAATGAAATACATAGTACACAGAGCAGATGAGGTAAACTGAACACAGCTATCTAAATAGTGAGTTGGTTACTTTTGCACAGTAAAGAGTAATTACGTATCACAGAAAAAAAGTGGGAAAGAATAATTACAGGAGCAGTACTACACTTGGCAGAGCTCACAGCTGGAGCTCACACTGCAGTGCTCAAGCTTGGCTTGTGCTTTCATTTCCAACGGGACTTTCTGTTCCCAGCTATTGGCCTGTCCTTGTGTCCCCACGATGGTCAAAAAAACAGGTGACCTTCGCTATTGACCACACAGTTAAAATCTATCCTTTTCCAACAGCACAGACATGCTGTTTCCATTCTGTCCCTGCAACAGTTGAGTTTCTTTCATAAATTGTGGGAAAGACATTTCCTGTAAATACTGAACCCAACTGAGCAAAAGCCTCACTTCATCTTCTGAGCACTCAGAGATGTTTGAAAAACCTCTTCAATTTGAAATGAGGTTCAAACATCCAAACTTTCTGCAAGTAGAGAGTTTGCTTTAAATTCTTCTTGGATTAAAATAGTTCAACAATCAAATGCAATCTCTCTCAAATCTAACCTTTAAAAAAAAAAAAAAAAAGCAATTTCAAAAAATACATATATATTTCTAAGGGTTTCATTTAGAAGATGTTCTCAGATTTCCTTGAACTGTTTACAGCTAACTCCTACAAGAAAAAAATATATATAACTAACAGCACATTGGTAAAATGCCTGCTGCTGGCCACCATCTCCAGAGCCAGTAAGAGCCATTTCAAACCATTCAAAGCAAGTACATCACATAAAAGGTTTGCTCTGGTGCAAAGCAAATGGAGGGTCTCAACCTTATTCACTACTTAATTTGCAAAAAATGGAGATAAATTTGAAACATATAAGAACCAACTCTTACATTTCTAAAAGGACCCAAAGCATTGAGCAAATTCCTGTGATACAGCCCTTCTGCTCCTTCATCCGGTGCCCAGGGAAGATGACCGTACCACATACTGTGGGTTGCAGTATGGTTTGCAACATCACAGAAAGCAACAATGATGACACCCACACAACTTAATAAAAGCAGAGGGAGCTGTTTTTAGGAAAACCATCTCGAAAATTCATCATCTTTTGTCTCTCTCCTCCTTTCTGGGTAAGTACCATCCAAGGCCCAGCTGCCCATCGTGCCCCTAATGTATTCTCAGGCTCTGCAAGTGGGGAGCAGAGGGGGCAGCCAATGTGGCCCCAAACTCTTCCCACCTATTATTGCAGACAAGCTTCCTTTTTCCTGCTACTGTTGCCACTTCATGAGTCCTCCAAGAAATATTGGAACTTTGTCTTCCTGTTCTACTCCTCTTCTGATTTTACAAGTTCCATATGCTTCTTCCCTTCATCCTCTCTTATCTTAATTGCACAACCCTGAGAGAATGAAGTCTATTGTTTCACTCCTTGAAGAGTAATAAAGAAAGAATTCGTCCCTTGGGGATGGAGGTTACAGGGCAAAAGTTGAAGAAAATGGAACATCTTTGCTGGAAAAAATGTCTTGCCTTTTTATCTGTCCAGGAAAGGTTTTATTACTGTAACAAGCAAAGGAGGAGTTGCTTATTCTCCCTGTGTACAGACTCACTTTCCCATGCCAGATCCAAGACACACGTAACCATTCTCCAATTACATATTTCACTGTCCCAGCAATGGGCTCCTCATCTCTCAAGCTGTCAACCAACCCCTGCAGCCTGATGAGGAAAAGTTATTCAAGTAAAGTGGTAAGAGGAAGGACCGACTCAGTGACATGCAAAGCTGGGGAAGGAGGAAGCTTGAGGACTGGGTTATGATGTTACAAGAGGGAGGCAGGAGTCACTGGACTGGAGTCCTAATCCAGAGAAGCAGGAGCGTGCAACAAGGTGTCCCGATGTGACTACAAGATGTTTGTCACCTACAGGATGAGTTCTGAAGCTCATTAACTGCAGCTCAAAGCTTCAGAAAAATTAAACGTAAAAATAAAAAATAATAAAAAAAATCCACATCCTTGAGTTGTGAAACATGCACATAACTTGCTTCCTATCACTTGGTTACGTTATGGAGATACTTCATTGAAAATGAGGTGAGAAATATACTTACTGTCACCTTCTGAGCTGCATTATCTCCGTGAATTGTCAGGAATGGGTTGGTAGAAGCTGCATTAAGTGGTGATGCCTGCGTGCCTGAAAGTAAGTTGTTTATGGGTATCTGTGCTCCTCCAGTAATCTGCAGTTGCTGTACTTCGGACTGATGGTGGTGTTGGTGGTGGTGGTGTTGCTGTACTAGCTGATACAGAAGGGCCTGATGTTGTTCCTGAGATGGAGAAGAGGGAGGGGGAATAATCAAGAATTAGTTACTGAGTAATAGCTTCTCGTTGGGTTCTTGTGTATCCTCCATCAGCACAACCCTTAACCTAATCCCAGCTGATTTATTTTACACTAACGAGGTTCCACAAGACTGGACGAAAGGGAAGAAAGTGTCTATAAAACTTCCTGAAATCAGTAGCTCAGCAGAAGTTCAGCTAAGCCTGCTGGCTTCAGCAAGTTCCTATCAAAAGAAACATATCTGAGAAGAATATTAAACCAGTACTAACACTGCACAACTGACAACACAAACAGTGAAACCAGTTGTCTATGATGTGTCAGTACTGAAAGGGGGAGCAAGGACAGCTCATGGCAATTCCCAAGATGTTTCACACTGCAGTCCTAGTGGTGACAGGGCTTCACTTTGCATATTGTTAGAACCAACAAATGGTCTCAGACCCCACTGCCCACAGCTAATGCTGAGAGACACAAAGCACCAGGCCCACAGGGGCAAAATGGGACTGTCAGGGAACAATTCTGACAGCAATACATGGAGCCCAGCAGCGTTCTGCAATCTAGTGTGACTGTCATCCTAAAAGACTGAAACAACTGAAAATTTTCAAAAGCTGTAATATCAAGTTAAACACATTCCTAATATTTGTTTTGGGGTAGGGAATCTATTCGTGCCTTAGGCTATACAAGAAGAATGAGTTATAATTAACTGGAAAACTTACTGATGTGAGTTGCTGAGTACTTAGTAATTGCTGGAATTGCTGGTGCTGTTGATGGAGTAGAAGTTGTCTCTGTTGGTCAGGAAGTAATCCTAGTCCTGAGGCACTGCAGGGTATGACAGGGTGATACTGTAGTTTATATCAAAGTATGGGAACTTTTC